TTCATCGAATTTGACTCAGTAGTTGTCAAGATATCATTGCTCAAAGATTTAAAAAAAGTTAAAATTTCATCTATATATGCTCTTATTTAATTTCTGACTTCAGTAATGAAGTTTTTAATATTTGAGAACATTTATAAGTATTTTCCTGTTCTCATGAGAACAGAATTTTCAACACTGGTTGAGATATTTTCGAGAAAAACTTTGACCAGCTTTATTTTGATAGACGTGTTTTGAGTTTTCTTATAACTTTGAGCAAAAATATCTCGACAATGACCAAGTCAAAAATCGATAACCTTTTTTTATTTGAATTCTATATTTTCGTAGAGTCTAAATAAAAAAATATTCATCGAATTTGACTTGATGGTTATCGAGATATCTTCGCTCAAAGTTTGAGAAAAATTTGGCGCAGCTTTATTTTGATTGACATTTTGAGTTTTTTAAATCTTTGAGCAATGATATCTTGACAACTACTGAGTCAAATTCGATGAATATATTTTTTTTATTTGAATTCTATATATTTGTAGAATTCAAATAAAAAAAGTTTATCGAATTTGACTTGGCGGATGTCAAGATATCTTCTCTCAAAGCTTGAGAAAAAATTCGGCACAGCTTTATTTTGATAGATGGTTTGAGTTTTCTTAATAATAACACAAAGTCAAATTCGATAAACTTTTATTTATTTGAATTCTAAAAATATATAGAATTCAAATGAAAAAATATTTATCGAATTTGACTTGGTGGTTGTCGAGATATCTTTGCTCAAAGTTTTAAAAAACTCAAAACGTCTAACAAAATAAAGCTGCGCCAATTTTTCTCAACATTTAAGTGAAGATATCTTGGCAACCACCAAGTCAAATTCGATAAATTTTTTTTATTTGGATTCTATGCCAAAGTTTTTCTCAAACTTTGAGCGATGATATCTCAACAACTATCAAGTCAAATTCAGTAACTTTTTTTATTTGAATTCTACAAATATTAGAATGTTCATTAAATTTGACTCGGTGGTTGTTGAGATATTTTTTCTTAGTTAAAAAAAAATTAGGTACAAATAACAAAATTGGGGCATGTATATCGGCCGCCAAAAAGAAAAATAATCAAATAATATATGATAATCTTGTTCACACGCATATTAACACATACGTATTCTGCCATTCATATATTTAAATTATAAATAAACTTTGTCATTTTCAGCTACAAATTCTAGGGAGCTTGATAAATGTGTTCTGACCTACAAAAGTTACTACTTTATTACTATTATTTAACTTTTCACAAGAAGACTGATGCCTTCAGTAATAGGACGAGGGGTAAAGCTAAACTTATCGTTATGTAAATTTTTGATATCTATATTGACAGTTAGGTAAGCTCTGAAATCATCTACAAGTGTAGGAACTGGAGCAGTATTATTTTTATGTCTTTGTCTCACAGTTAAATCACTGGAAACTTCCCATTTTGTGCCTAAAATTAATAGTGTGAGATGAACATAAAGAGTGATTAGGTTGAAACTTGAACATTTAGTTAAGAAAAAAACTTACCAGTAACTTCCTCATGCTTTTTAAGCAATTCATTCAATGTTAAGACAGATCCAGCAACTCTAATAGTACCATTACGGGCTTCAGTTAACTCAAGAGATTCAACAGTATATTTACCAATGTCAGGGTAAGATGTGCAGACTACCTTCGTGTTACCATCAGCATAGAACGTGGCTTTCTTGTTTTTATGATCGAATCCTAACGATGAGAGATATTCATAGAATAAACCATTAACGATAATAGTATATTCCATCCCACTTTTTTCTAATTCTTGAAAAAATTCGACTTTGGGCTTGTGGAATGGATGGAGTTCACCACTTTATTGTCAAAAGAGAAAATTAATTTTTTAAAATAAAAGCAATACCAAAAGGAGAAAATTTAAATCAGAAAACGTTAAAATTGTGATGATTAAAACATACGTTATCTCTTTAATATCACAACCAAATTCAGATGGAATGAATCTTTTTACACCAACTTCTTTTGCAGCGTTTAAAAGAGCACATTGAGTGGCCAATTGATCAGTATCGCCTATAGCACTGACAATAACATCGGTTCCTTTAAGAGCTTTAACAAGATCATTCTTGTCATTATAATCAATGTAAATAACTTCAGCACCTTTGGAAGCTAACAAACTGGCATTTTTATTTTCTGATTCAGGTTTTTTCGAAGAAAATATATTATTAACAACATTTTACAAAAACACAATGCAGCTTGTAAAAGTCCTGGCAATTTTGATATTAATTGTCCAATTGATAATTATTACCCCTTCGTGGGCGCTTGAAAAACGAGGTATTAAATAATTATTAAAATAATGCTATTTTGGAAATAAACCGTAAATGAACTTTTTTTTAGTTTGGCCTCGTCATCCTAGTTTTATACTTAGAAAAAGAGGTATGGATTAGTACTCGTATAATTCATTAAATTACTATTAATAATTTGAAACTTTTATCTCTAATTGTTTATATGTAAATTAAATTGGTAGACGGTGTGTATAAGACTATTTTATAAATTAAAAGCTTTACAATAATTTACTATTAAATAAAACACCTAATTAATTATATGCAAATTAAATTATTAGCTTGTAAGTATAAAACAATTTATAAATTAACAATTTTATAATAATCTGCTATTAACTAAAACATCTTTAATTTCAATTATATGCAAATTAATTCATTAGATTGTAAATATAAACCTATCTATAAATTAAAGACTTTATAATAATCGACTATTAATTAAGACATCTCTAATTAACTATATGCAAATTAATTTATTAGTTAGTAAGTATAAGACTATTTATATATTAAAAACTTTGCAATAATTCAATATTAAATAAAACATCTCTAATTATTTATATGAAATTAAAATTTAGCTCGTGAGTATAAGATTATTTTATGATTAAACTTTATAATAATCTAATATTAAACAAAACATCTCTAATAATTTATATGTTTTTATGAATAAAAAATATTACAAAATAAACATTTCTATATTTAATTAAATTATTAGCTAGTAAGTATAAAAATTATTTATGAATTAAACACTTTATAAATTAAAAAAAAGCTTTATAAATTAAATCACTTTATAATAATCTACTACATTTCTAATTATTTATGTGCAAAGTGAATTACGCGGATGCCGTGAGTATAAGAGCATTGTATCTTATAAATTAAATCTTACAATAACTTATAATTATTTATATATAAGGCAAAATTCTCAGGCCGTGAGTATAAATTACTTTTAAATTAAATCCTTTTCAATCCAAAATTAATAAACTATCTGTATAATTATTTGTATGTAAATTAAATTATTAGGTTGTAAGTATAAATTTATTTTTATAAATTAAAAACCTATAATAATCTACTATTAAATAAACGTCTATGTCATTTATACGCAAATTCAAATTACTAGCCGGTGAGTATAAGACTATTTCTGCTATTTTATAAATTAAAAATTTTGTAAAATTTACTATTAATAAAACATCTCTGATTAATTGTATGCAAATCAAATTATTAGCTGGTAAGTATAAAATCACTTTACAAATTAAAAGCTTTATAATATTCTGCTATTAACTAAAACATCTCTAATTATTTATATGCAAATTAAATTATTAGCTGGTAAATACAAAATATTATAAATTAAATATGTTTTACAATAACTCTTTTGACAAAAAACATCACTTAATTATTAATATGTAAATTAAATTACTAGTCTGTAAGTAAAAGGCTATTTATAAATTAAGCTTAATAAATCTACTATTTAATAAAACATCTCTAATTATTTATATTACTAGTTCGTGAGTATGAGACTATTTTATATAATTTAAAAACTTTATAATAATCTACTATTAAATAAACATCTCTAATTATCTACATTAAATTAAATTATTAGCTTGTAAGTATAAGAATATTTTATAAATTAAAAACTATGCCATTAAATATTTAAAACATTTATATAAAATTAAATTATTAGCTCGTGAGTATAAGTTATTTTATAAATCAAATAATTTATTATTAAATAAAACATTTCTAATTATTATATGTATATTTATAGGAAGATCTTAAAATAATGCAATTTAATATTATATAGCAATATAATAATATAACGCAAGTCATTATAAAATTTTTTGATACAAGCAATTTGCTGTCATCTTAATTCAATATTTTTATTGTAATAAGTTTAATTTCTTGCTTTTAAGTTTATTACATAATTATATTTTGATTAAAGATCTTTACTATTTTACTTTGCTTACTTTTGTACATTATAGCGTTATATTAGATTTTTTTCATTTATGAAAAGTTCAAACGATAATCATTAGTTGTAGAGAAAGATTCTTGATTTTTTTTTCATTTGTCAAGGTTATTTCTTGTGGGTAGGGTGCTTGAAAATGTCGTTGCAAATATTTATATCCGTGTACGTGGCTTTATTTATTAGTTCTTAGCAAATGATTTATTGATCTTCAATTCATTTATTAATTTTCGTGTGGCCAAATCTAAGCAAACATGCGATTTGTATTATACAGCACAATGAGGCTGAAAGAAAAGTTGATTTTTTATTTTCTGAATCCTGTTCTAAAAATCTCATTTTATCTTACACAAATAAATAATTTAACTTATGAGACAAAATCTTATAGCCAGCAAGTAGCGGTTTTATTATCGCGTAAACCTGGCACATATTAATATTTTCAAATGCATCAATTTGTTACCTTTTGTCAGGTTCACATTTGCACTTTTTGTCAGTTTCGCACATTTTGTCAGCTCTACACCTTTTTTCAGTTTTGTCACTTTTCATAAATTCATTGTTTTTCATTAGCTTTATCGCCTTTAATCATTTTATAGTAGGTAAAAAAAATATCGTTATGGTAATATAAATCAATGGATGAATCAAGTATCTGTAAGATGTTATGGGCCGCGAAAGCGGCCCCAAATATCTTACAGATATTTTATTTATTCACTAATTATTAATGTTCATTATTCATTATAGGTCTTTATTATGTCACCGATAATTACTTCATAGGCGAAAATTAATTTACGAGCAAGATTTATTTTCTCGAAGATTAATTCACAGACAAGTTCATTTCATGAACAGTATATTTTACCGACAAATTAATTCTGGCATCGTCATTGGAATACAGTAAACGGCATACCCTTAAGATTAGTTCAATTTGTTAAAAAAAATTGTGTAAAAAACTGTTGTTAAATTATACTGTCTATGAAATTAACTTGTCTGTGAATAAATCGTCTGTAAAATAAACTTTGTCTGTGAATTAATTGTCGGAGATAAGGTATTTAGGCATCAAGATATTTGAATTCATTTTATTTAATTTTACTATGTGAGTTGTAGAGATATATTAATTTATATTTTAATTTAGTGTATATGTTATATGAGTGAAAAATAATTTATAAATTGATGTATTTTAATAGATTATTCAAGTTCGTGAATCTTTACTATCAAGTAACGCTTCTCATTTATTCAAATTAATTTAGAAATATGAAAACCATTAAAATTTATCAGTAGTATCTAAATAACTATCACATAATTAAATTTTGCTTCTGTATACATAATCAATCATTAAAACAGGCGGCGAATTACAAGATTGAGATTTAAAATTTATCATTATAAGCATTTAAGTGTCATTTGACATCTATTCATGTAACATTTGGAGTTTCACAATGAATGATTTGGTATCTAAAATTCTTTTTTAATTGAGCGATCTTTGAACCTTACGATTTTTTTTAAAAAAGTTAAAATTTCATCTATATATGCTCTTATTTAATTTCTGA